CTGGCATTTTGAAAAACTAACTCAGAGGTAGGTAGTTCTTAATCTTCCTCTAATCTCAGCCCTCATTTCAAACTTCACACTGTCACTGCACAATAGTCTCATTATGATTCTGAGGAACAAGAAATAGATACTCACAGCAAAGAGCAGTCAGAACAAGGCTGTTGCCCTATCTGCCTTCATCCTTGGTTCTGAAGAGGTTTTGTTAGATGGAAAGTTAAACCGTTACATTCCTCAGAATCCATCTATCATTTCCCAGCTATTTTGTAATTGGAGAATCTTCTCAGTGTACAAAGAAATGTATGTGGGAGTCTATTAAAACATTGGCAGACTTTTACTTCCTTACAGTTTGGCATTTCATATTGCTTTTAAAGTATGCTTCAAGATACAGTATATATTTGAAAGTTTCTAAGATAATACCAGAATCTAAAACCTTGTTTTTCTTTAGAAGTTTAGTAGGAGACTAAAATAATCCAAAACATTTACTATTTTTAGATTGCATTTATAAATACTGATTCAATTCATATATTAAACCAATATAAAATAGTAACAAAAGTTTCACTTGTTAATAAATTTCCTTCTCAGGAAATCAAGTGTAAATTCATATTTTTCCAGTGCAGTGTCTTTTATTTTTTTGATATCTTAGTAAAAACTGCATTTCCAAAGCTCACGATTTAAAATCCTAACTAATCATGACATAGAATTAGTCTATTTATGGCTACAAAAAGCAAGCCTTGTTCTCATTATGCAGTAAGAACTAGCTGTTTATAGATCTGACAGTTTGTTGGAAGTGATCCAAACCTATAGTGCTATTATTCCTTAGTAAAATTTAAACAGCTGTAGTCATGTAATTCAAAACCCTGGAAGTCTGCTGCAGTGCTTGTTCTACTCCAGTATACCATGAATGCAGGATGCAGCCAGTCATATAAAGGATTCTCTTCTTCACAGAATGAAAGACGTGAACTACAAACCTGAATGCAACCTGAAAGGTCCAAATAGATGAGCTTGTGACAGCCTTTTCCAGAGCCCAGGTACAGTAAATCTTTGTCTGTGAATTTTCTGCAGTGAGCTAAACTCAGATACTGTAAATTGGGGAAGCTGCTTTGCAAAAAAACCAAAACAGAGAGCAAATTATTACAAGGGTATGTTACAGAATCAAAAGGGCATAAAATACCACAGTTAAAGTATTCTGAAAATTACTGTAAAGAAAAGATGGTTGATATGAAATAGAATTATCTCCTTGATGAAGTTTGAAAGTCCCTTTCTTATGCTGCACTTTTTCCTCTGCTTCTTGTATAGCAAATTACCAGGGAACAGCACTATCATACACCATATTTCACTATATGAAAACAGTATAATTTTAAAGTTATTTCAAATAACTGCAAAAGCATACTTTTTAAATTAACTGGGATTTTTGTGTGCATACTTTGAAAGCTAGTACACTTTTCAGTAAGAGTTTGCTGGACTGTCTTTGCCCTTGATTTACAAGCAGTGCCTGCTAGAAATGAAAAACAGAACTCTATCAAAGTACATGGAAAGCATAAATGTACAGTTAGAGCTTCTCAAGTCGTACAATTATTTGGAAGAGTATTATTAAAAGAACCTGAAAAATCAAAAGAAATACAAAAGGGAATTTTCATTCAATCAAATATCATTCAATGTGAAGTTTTGATCAGTTCTTTTGGAAAATATTTCTTTACACTAAATGCTAGTTAAAAGTAAGCAAACTGTGTAAGTGGAAAATGTTAATCAACAGCACTCTGTAAAAGCAAGAATCTATACTCTGAATATGCATGAGTTTCCATCTGCAGCTTTGGTTTATAGCATACTGAAAACTATTAATTTTACTGAACTACACTTCTAACTGGAATAAATAACAATTGCCACAAGCACCACAAATGAAAGCATACAGAAAATCAAAACCTAGAATTAGGACCTACTGCTCTAGTAGACATGTAGTTGTAGGGATAAAGTCATGCAGTTCTGCAAGTCAGCAAAAGTAGGCATTTTGAAGAAAGATGGGAACACCCACTGAGGAGCTGGCTGCTTAAGCAGTGGCATACATTTTTGGAACTGACTTTATACTTCCAATATAGAGTGGGAAACATGCTAACTTGAACTGAACACAACAAAAAAAAAAAAGATAGGAAGCTGGAAAAGAATGTTATAATAAAAAAAGGATACTACAAAAGTATTAAGAAATTAAATACAAGATTATATTTCACACACAAAAAAAGAAAACCAAGACAGACAACGTGCTTCAGAACCAGATATTAGAATATAAGGGCATGTGTTTGTGGTGTGGTTTTTTAAATTGAAACATTCAATCATATTAAATACAGAAATAAAAGTATCTTTCTTTGTAGAAGCATAAGCCTTTTTGCATTTTAGTGACATATTCCACAGAAATGAGTGGGGAAGATCAAACTCAGAGAGAGTACACTTCCAAACTCTTCTGACAAAATAGATAATAAATTAAGAGACTGTTTTTTTATACTCTGGCCCTTCTGAATCTTTTTAAATTATGTGTTGCTACAAGGTTGCACAACTTAAGGCACAGAGAAGCCTCTTACTGCATTTTGAAGACTGCAATCAAAATCTTCCAATACTTTTGAAGATACACTGATTTTCTTTACAGGTCATATGACCCATTTTTGTGACCTGGGAATTTTAACACATGCTGCCTTCTGCCATTTTTAAAATGACAGCTTTCTTAAAACTTAAGCTGGTACACACAAACTACTAAAAATCCTTGCTTTGTGTTACAGACAAATTCTGCAGGAATTCTGTCATACTGCTTTTTCAATTAATTTTGGCATTAGCAATCTCAGGGTCATTGTTTTAAAGAAACCTGACAAAATCACCTTCTAACATTTATTCCTTATAGACAATATTCATGTCTTCCATATGCAATAGAACTTTTCAGAGGGAAATTGTAGCTGATGATCTGTGTTGTGTAATATGGAGGTTAAAATGCTTGTGTGGAACAACAGGAGAGAATCAAAAATGACCAAACAGTTTTGAGCACACCCAGTCTACACTTCACTTGTTCCTTGTTCCAGTAACCGACATCTGATATACAACAGCAAACTTCATGTGCAGGGTTACAAAATGCAATACTGCCACCTCTAAGAACTTTGTATTAGTTACTTTATTACACAGGACCTGTGGTAACTCATGTTTTTGAGATGGCATGTGAAACGTTTATGAAATTTGTCTGCTATCAAAACCTTCACAGGACAGCAACTTTTTGTACGCATCATCTCAGAAACAATGACCTTTGCTTTTTGTCCAAAAATTGCCCATAAAAGCAGTGGTATCTTATGGTTTAAAATCAGAAACATCATGTGTGACTGGGAAAATTTCTTATTGACAAGGTACAAGTTAACTGCAAAATATGTTTTGTCAGTGGAGAATTTCTCTTTTTGTTTTAAACGTTTTATTGCATTGAAAGCTTCATCTACTCTGGAGAACTCCTTCTCAGGTACATGCTATTTATGCATCAAAAGAAATGAACAGTTTTGACTTTTGGTAGGAACAGCATGCCCAGGTAACCAGAACAACATATGCTGAGATTACCTATAGATCAGCTGTTCGAAACTTCAACATAAATATATCAAAATTTAAAAAGACAAAATATCAGCCAACATGGAGAAAACACTAATTAAAAGAATAATACTGAGGAAGAGATAAGTGGTAAGATTGGAGACACTAAATGGAAACCTTTGCCAAAACAAATGTTAGGTATATGAGGATGTGGCATTATAGACTAAGAAAAACAAAATTCAAAATGTATTGTGGAAATACTTTCTGGACTCTGTAGGGCTGCTTTTGAAATACAGACATTAGTTTTCCTCATCGGAAAGAGAAACAATTACAACTATTTTCAAATCTATATACATCTTTGTGATGGCTGCTGTCCTGGACCAGCATGTCTCTTTTCCTTTATGGCAGCTTTTAACACAGCAATTCTACCTACCAGGCAGACTTTCATTCTCATTAAGGGATCCATCTAAAACAGGAATTGCAGGCCTCTGTGGGAACGTAAATTCTCTGCCTTCAGCTCACTGATCTTCCAAAAAAGAGTTTGGAATAAGTCTTTTGCAGTTGTCACACAAGGACTTGACTCACACAATACACCTATCCACAATCCTCTCGCAAAAATAATTTTTTAAGAACATGCCTAACATGCAAACTTCTTTCATCATCATGAGTATCTGAACATGCCCAAGAAATTTTTGGCTACCATGTTCTTCTAAAAGTTTCTGTAAAACTCTGTGATATACACAGGATAATCTAGCATACATTTACATTATACTGAAAAGTGAATTAGAGAAAAGCACTGCTATCTAAGTCAAATGTATGGGCCATTTTTTTCATTTTGTATAGCAAGCAGAATCCTGAAGTCACTCCAAAAGAGTATTTCTACTATACATGCCTCTAAGTTTCCTGCAAGATTAAAACAAACACATTTATGTATTTCTGTTTAATTTTACCTTAACAATAGTCATACTGTTCCATTAGTAATATCTGTATACGACAGATTTAAATACAGAAGTGCTCTGCAACCTTCTGATATGTCTCATTGATTCATCCTGAATAATGATTTTAAAAATATCCAGAAGTACATTAAAATTATATTTGTGTTAATTTATCTTAAATTTTTATACAGAGTAACAGGGGAAAAAACATTAATAAGTATCTTTAAATCATCATATTAATTTTTATATATCAAAACCATTTTCTTTGGAAGCCTCAAAGTAGAACACTGAGATACATGATGCTACTGTTACTCACTTGAAGTACGGTAATTTTAACATTCCAATTCAAGGAATCATTATACGCTACACAGTCCTACAGAGCACAGGGGACTTTTCACATGATTGAAGGTTAGCACATGTTTACATATTTTGCTAAACCAAGATTCTTGTTAGCCAGTCCTGGTACCTAAAACCACTGGTGAATTTTCTCCATAAACTCTGGTACGGTCCTCTAACAAGTAATATTCTTTACAAAATGCTTTCTGTTTAGTTCTGCCCTCTAGGTGGAACATTGGATTTGAGTAATTCTAAGGCTTCCATGTTTTATTGACTTGCGAAAGTGGTACTACCTCTGTTGTTCTATATATTTATCATTCCATCAGAATATAATGGGAGCAACTCTCCTAGTATGAAGATTGTTTCACAATAATTGTCAATATAATAGAAAGTCATTACTTGTACATGGAAATGTAATAGTTGAGTGTGTATCTTTTGCCATGCTGTGGTCACCTTTTTACTATTTCAGTTATGAGGCAAAAAGACCATCAGGGTAGTTGGGAATTCAATACCAAACACCTTTAAAGAGGACAGTCTGTGCTTTTGAAATATATTCTTGCCACAAAGGATTTGAGACAGGTGATATCAATAAAAATAGGCATGGAAGATAACCAAAACTGGAAGAGAACTGAAGGCATAGGGAGTAGTGAGAAAGTGCTGAGGGATAGCATGATGGGGAAAACTCTGGAACCTTCCATGTGAAAGCAGCACATCAGGGGTCCACCTCAAGTGTCTGAAAGCAAACACTTGTAGCATGGGAATCAACCAGTAGAGAACCAAGTCCCTGCACAGGTGCAGAGCTATGATTTCACTGGGAATCCAGAGATACAAAGGCATAGCTCACACAACTGGAGGGCTGCAATGAATGGTTACAGAATATTTAGGAATGACAGCCCAGGAAGGTGAGGGCAACTCGCACTCTGTGCTAAGCTACATGTAAATGCAGGGAGCTTTGCATTGGCATGAATGCCAAGTCAGTAAAGAGCTTATTTGTAAGGATTAGAGGCTAGACCTATAAGGATTGCATTGTGGTAGGTATCTGCTACAGATTGCTTGATCAAGAAAAGAAGGCAGATGAAACCTTCTTTGGGCAGCTGAAGGGAGGCTTACAGTTGCCTATCCTGGTTACTCATGAGAGACTTTAACCACTCTGGTATCTGCTGGAAGAACAATATAGCTGGGCGCAAACAACCCAGAAGACTTCTAGAGTGTGTTGAAGACATTTTCTTGATCCAATTGACTGACAAGTGCTCTAGGGAGCATGTTCTTCTGGACTTGTTTTGCAAATAAGGAAAAGCTGGTCAAGAAAATGAAGAACTAGAGTGGCTTTGGTTACTGTAATTATGAAAATGAGGAGTTTAAAATCCTCAGAGAAGAAAATGGGACAAATTGTAGAAAAAGCCTGAACTTGAGAGCAGATTTTGGCTTGTTTAGGGATCTGCTTAAGAGGATCTCATGGTATACAGCCCTGGAAGGCAAAGGGACTCAGGAGAGCTTGTTGATCTTCAAGGCCAAGGTACTCAATGACTTTTTTGCCCCAGTTTTTACTGCTAAGGCTTGTCTTAGGGCCTTTGAGGTGCCTCCCAGGAGACTACTAGCAGAGTGTGGGAGTGAAGCAATACCCATGGTAGAAGAAGATAATGTCAAGGAGTGCCTGAAGAAATGAGATGACATAGGATGCATCCAAGAGCACTAAGAAAGTTGGCTCCTGTCACTGAGAGGCCTCACTCCTAATTTTTGAAACGTTATGGCAATCAGATGAGATTCGTGATGACTGGAAGATAGGAAATGTCACATCAATCTTCAGGAAACAAGAAGGAGGATCCAGGAAACTGCAGGGCAGTCAGCCTCACCTGAGTCCATAAGAAGGTTATGCAGCAAATCCTCCTTGAAGCCCTGTCCAAGCACATGAAGGATAAAAAAGTGACAGGGAACAGCCAGCATGGATTTACCAAGGGCAAAGCACTCCTCACTAAGACAGTAAGTTTTCTTTGATGAAATTACTGGATCTATGGATAAGGGGAGAAAAGCAGCTGTTATGTACATCGACTTCAGCAGGGCCTTCAACACAGGCCAGGGTATCCTTTATAGCCAAACTGGTAAAATAAAGGCTGGATAAGTGGACTTCAAGGTGAGTGAAAATTTGTCTGACTGTCAGGCCAAGGGGTTGCCACCAATGGTGCTAAGTCCCATTGGTGACTTGTGGCAGCTGGCATACATACCTCAAGGGTCAATATGGGGACCAGTACTGTTAAATACCTTTATAAATGGTTTGGATGATAGGAACAGAGCACATTCTCAGCAAATTCACAAATTATTTCAAACTGAGGGGAGTGTGAATGCACTGGAGGCTAGAACTGCTATTCAGATTTAATCTGGAAAATGGGCTAATAGAAACCTCATGAAGGTCAACAAAGGCAAACACGAAGTCCTGTGTCTGGGATGGAAACAGCCCGGGCATCAGTAGAGTCTAAACACTGGACAGAAAGCAGCTATCAAACACACTGACCTGAAAGTCCTGGTCAATAACAATTTCAATGTATGTCAACAGTGTGCCCTTCTGAACAGGGCGGCCAACTGCACACTAGACTGTATTGGCAGGATTGTAACCAGAAGGTCCCTGCCATCCCATGAACCAGGCCCTGGCATCACCTAGGAGTGTACTTGCTGGTAGGTACCAAATGTGTACTAGCAAGCACGCAAACAACCAAACAGAATGGACTGAAATGAAAAAAAAATAGGCCCGATACATATACCTAATACGGAACACAGAGGATCCAGTAAGGGTTCAAGTTAATAAAACACATGATCAATTTACACCAACTAGCATATAGCTGCCAACAAGTAACAAATAAAATTTCATTTTTCATGTAAGGGATAAAGTTGTCAATGCAAACACTTAGATTCACACTGTGAACTAACAAAAATCTGAATGCAGGTAAACAACTGGCAACTACAGAAGCAAAATGAAGAAACCAGAGAAACCAGTCAATGGGTTTTCAGAGGTAATATTAACAACCAGACATATGGATTAGAGGGATGTAGAAGCACTCACAGACAAGTCTTTCCTGTCTGTCTAATGAGTAAGAACTGCACAAATACTGAGAACGCCCTACAGTCAAGATGTGGTTTAAACTGATCTACCAGTTTGTTTAAAAATGAAAAAATTATTTGTTTTCAAAATAATTTTACCTTATATTAGTTAATTTATTGTGCCAGCTTTCAGATAAAAATAAGATTTTTGAGCCCAAAACAACAGTGTTTTAGAAACAGAACCTCTGTGCAATGATCTGCACTCAAAACGGGGATTCAGAAATTACCATGTGCTAAGGTCAAAAAAAACTGAGCATAATGCAAAAATGTCCAGTCACAGAGAAAAAAAGTAACTAAGTAGTTAAGCTAAACAGTGAAGAATTTTTTAAAAGTTTCTTAAGGAATGATACTGACTAGCAAAACGAGGAAATTTGTGAGATGGAAAAAAATTACAAAATATAAAAACCTGAGAGGTTAAAATGTTTCTAAGGAAACACAACCTTGTGGCCAAATTTCACTGAAAATGAAGGAAAAGGGTAGTGCAAAGGAGTACTATGGGAAATTCAGGAGGGAACATAGGCCAAAAATTACTAAAAATACTGAGGCAATTTAGGACACAGTTGCAGGGAGCAGTCCTTGTCTTCCCCTAATAATAATTCCTAATGATCGTGTTTGGTTTTCTTGAAAAGGCAAAAGCTCCTGGCTTACCCCTCTGTACTCTCCTTCCTCAGGTGGCCAGACCTGAAGTGGTTTGAAGCAGACCACAGCCAGGACCTGCAGCTTCTCTTTGCACTCCACCTATGCTCACATGACATATAGCCTCACAGGCTCTTGCAAAAGATTATTTTTGGATCCTTCTCAGAGCAGTCCTTCCAACTCCATCTACCTGACATGGGCCACAAGAGATACTTGGTAGTAGCAGGGGTAGTTATGATAAATTGGGGCTCAGCCTGAATACAAGTTCACACTTGAGCGCAGTCTAAAACCGGGGCTTTGATAGGCACTGGATGAATTTCCTTGGTCTTGCTCTGTGTGTGTTCCAGTGGGTAAATACCCAGAAATCTGGAAAATATCAGCTTCAAGCTCCTCTTTCAAGCTCACCTTCCAAGATGAACTTAAATGCAAAGAAGATTAGCCTGGTGCCATTTTCCTGAATGCATGAGAATCCTCTAACAAAGATCACTTAGCAATTGGTCCATATAGTTTCCCACATTTAATCAAAATGAATGACAGTAGACAACAAACATTTAAAACAACAAAAAAAGAGACAGGACATTAAATCTTCAAACTATTTGTGAAGCTCCAAGTAGTGCGACGACTGAGTACTTGCTGCATATTATGTACAAGTCTCCATGAAAATGCCTGTTTCATCTGTTCTAATGTTTTACTTTTCTTCTAACACAGGGATCTCACAAACCCCAGCTGCACCTCCTCAGATCTTCACAACACTGATTAAGACTACCCAAAAATTTCAACTGTTCCAGCTGTCACAGAAAATAACCGGGGCCAGCTGAATGTCAGGATGCAAGTAGTTACTATTATACTACTACTTCTTCTTTTTAAAGCTTCTGACTGTAGGAAGACAAGGAACAGGAGTTTGAGAAACAATGAAAGGGAAAACATCTTAAGGAAAGCATCCAGCACTGTTAAGCGCAATGCCCGAGGCCTACCATGCGATATATACAATTATCTTCATGAGAAATATCTAGATTGTCAGGAAAGAAAACTGATTGCTGTGGCACCTGACTGGCCAGAGGATTTAAAACACATGCTGCTAGCAAGAAACAGGATTCGTAAACTGAAGAATAATATGTTTTCCAAGTACAAAGTACTGAAAAGTCTGGATTTACAACAGAACGATATATCAAAAATTGAGAGCGAGGCTTTTTTTGGTTTGAATAAACTTACCACTCTCTTACTACAGCATAATCAAATTAAGAGTTTATCTGAGGAGATTTTTATTTATACACCCAGTCTAAACTACCTACGTCTTTATGATAATCCCTGGCATTGCAACTGTGAACTAGAAACTCTTGTTACAATGCTACAGGTTCCAACAAACAGGAATTTGGGAAATTATGCCAAGTGTGTGCACCCAGTAGAACTGAAAAATCAAAAGCTAAAGCAGATAAAAGCTGAACAGCTATGCAGTGAAGAGGATAGGCAGGACCCCCAAAACATAAAACGGGACAAGCCTGAAGCTGTCAAACCAGAATTTGATTCCTCTTTGTGCCACATGTATGTGTTTCCTGTACCAACTCTGAACTGCAAAAGAAAAGGTTTGTACCCATCCTTATAACTGAATTCATCATTTTAATATTCTTGCTCCCATGCTACATTTATTCATATATTATTTACAGCAAATGAATATAGTACTAGTACTCGCTTTACTCAAACTAATACTGTTAATTGTTTTTCTCTCATAATTTCAGGCAACAAGTAGGAATTCTTTCTGCATTTTGCCTCCACTCAGCAGCCCCAATCCCACAGACATTCTTTAGTGCTCTAGTATAACATAGCCAACAAAAATCAGAAGGAATAAAATTAAGCACATACCTAAGTTACTGAAGGACCAGCACCTCACTAGTCCGATTTTAAAATTATAAACATACTAATCAGTCAAATTACACTGTGCTGAAATTGTTGTACTGATAGAGAAAAGCACAGGGCGTCTTTTCTTCTTTCCGGCGTACAAACACAAAGATAGCAACAACTTTGAGAGAAGCGCGCTGTGAAGCAGGACTGGAGCAGCCAGCTGTGCTTACAATGCCCAAAGGAACCTGATTGCAAAGGAGACCCACTGCATCCTCACATTTTCTGTGCAAGATATCTTCTACCAAGGGAAGAAACTGTATGCTTTTGTTCATAAAGAAATACATCCTCTGTCTTCTTCCTCCCAGCACCCAGTGAACATTTCAAAGTTGAAGGGCCTTCAAGAAATGTTTTTCAGACACTTGGATCCATTCCATTCCTAAATCTTTCTCAGGCTCCTAAAAGCCACAGCTAAGCCTTAATGGTAAACCAGCTGGGGCATATATCAACACAAAAGTGCACATTTATTCATGCTTTATATGTCCCATATTTTATCCCACAACGAAACAAAGCAAACAATAAAACAATTCAGAAGAGAGTCGTTCTTTAACATTACAAACTGAAATAAAAAGCATAACTAGAAGTAGCCAAAACTGGGAGGATTTTTTCCCAACTTTTGCGAAGCATAGCCTGCAATACTAATCACTGCAGTATGTTCTGCCCACTGGCATCTTGCAGTGTGTTTGCTAAACTTCTATTTGCTTTACCAGTGACTTAAATTTATTTAACAACTTTGTGTTTCCTTATTCTTGGATCTTAATGCCAGAAAGAAGCTCAGAAGTCAGTATAAGGAGACAATACCTAAATAGAAAGAATTAACGATTTCAGTATTTGTGATTACATGATTTATCTACTATGTACATCATAAAAAATGGTCCAAGTTTTTACTTTTTTTGACCCTCTTAAATTCCTTTCTTCTTCCTATGGCTCAGTTTTCTCTTTGTTTTACCATTCAGTTACTACATCTTTTTTTTAATGATTTTTTACTGGCTAACATTTATTAATTTCCTAATATTCACCTATCTTACCTTTCCTTATAAATAGGATCTTAATTATTGGATTATAGATTATGGTCATAATTATCCTTCATAGATCTTAATTATGTTATTATTGCCTTATGTCTCCGGTAAACTGCGCTCTGAACAAAAAACAGGCGTACGTTATAAGCTTAATATAAGAAAAAACTGACTTTCCAGCTCTCCTCATTTAGTGGTATCAAAGAGATGAGCTGAATACATGAATATACTAAAAATTTTTTTGCAAGAAAAATATTACTTTTTTCTTGAAGTTAATTAAAACATTCAATGTGGTCCTCTCCACGGGATTTTCACAGGCTTTTACTGTATTTTTTAAAAATGCTTTACTGTCTTTAGTGCTAATAATGAAGGAATAAAGTTACTTCAACCTCACATGAATGTACT